CTAGAAACGACCCTGTTCACAGTAGTTTTCGATGGCAATTCTTGTAGTGTTCTTTAGAAAATACTGTAGAATTTAGTCAGGGAAAATAGAATTCAGTGATAGGAAACCCACTGCCACTCACTAGCAATGCAAGATTGTCTTAGGCAGTATCCATATTTTATCCATATGTTTTGTCTTTTTGCATTCTAAAAGTTCCACACGAGGAGTCGTTACTGCTTTCCACAGAAAAAGTATTCTGAAGTATCATCAAGATCACAAATTAATTCATTATATTTGCTCTATACTTGACATTTCTGTATTTTCTCTATTTGTACTCTAAATAATTGAATTGTCCTTGATAGTAAGTCAAGGTTTCTATGACATTTTTGAAGTAGCTATTCAGGCAACTGGGGTACATTTCAGTATGCTCAGCTCTGTATTCACCATCCAAACAATTGGAATGGATTTCTGCTTACTCCACTCCTGCCCTTTTGTACTCCAGCTGAACTTGGATGGCTGCTAGAGCACATAATCATCTATATAACCCATCAGGTACAGCTATATAATAGCTATTACTGTATCTCCTTTAGCAGATAATCTCACAAGGAATAAAACTCCCATAAACTATCCCATGCCATCAAAATTGGCCTGTAGTATATCAACCTCAGTTAAGGACCTATGTTTAGTATACAGCTCTACATCCTGCTATTAAAGCACTATCTTAACGCTGCAATAATTGAATTTGAGACTCAGCAAGACATTTAAACACCTGCAAAAGGTTTATAACATTTCTGGAATATTAAAATAATAACTTAAAAGATTTAATTGAGCCTACCATTTGGACTTGGTTGATCTGGAACCTTTTTCTTTTACCTGACATCATAGGTACTTCCAAGTGAAAAAGAGTAGCTTGATTTCTTTTATCTGGTATATTCTGTGTGACTGAAATGAGGTTTATTATTCCCAAACAAAGGAGAAGATAGTGAAAGATGCTTAATCCTTTCATATATGTATTATCAGCTATTTCTGAAAATACTCCAAAACACTATAGACACCATTGTCCCACCATGAGATATGTCTGGTTTGAGTTGTGGTGTGCTTCATTCCCTTCCCTTCCTTTCCCTTTTTGTGTGGCAAAGAATCATTTGCACTTGCTCTTTCTTTATACTTGAAACATCCTTTGAACAAGGCAATCTTTGGGTTCCTATTACTTGCTTCCTACCTGTCAGTCTTGCATGTATGGGCTGTCACAGAAACTCTCTTTCATCCCTGCAAACCACTAAAATAAAGTGCGTTTCTGCTGTGCACACAGCCTGTTTATTTACTGCTGCCCAGCTTTATTATTTTATAAAACTTTGATTTTCCCATCTCCAGTGCTCTGACTGCCTGTGGGAAGCATTAAGGGTCACACTCAGTAAACTTCTAGCTACACAGCCGCAGGTAGCACTGGAAAGACTGCCGGAACTGCAGTCACCAACATTTCCCTTTGAAGAGGAGGATGGAGAGAGATGAATACCTGAGGAAATAACACACAAAAAAAGGACATTTAAATTATCCATGTAAATCTCAAAAATGATACAGAATTTTCCCCTATTAAATTAATACACTCTGATTAGTCACAAAATAGAGATATTCTTTAGGAATGTATGTAAACAAAAAACTAAATAAAAGGAATTTTATAATGGCATTAAAAAATAAGTGTATTTATTATTATTATTTACTTTTTAGTTCCTAATCATGGAAATAAAATCCCACATTTTTTCCAACTTTCCTATTCATTTTTAGCCAAATCTGACAATATGAACGTCTATAGAACATTCATTTCAGGACTGCAGCTGTGATTTATTTAATGAAGAAATAACATTTGATGAAACTTAGATTGGGGTCTAAATTAGATTTGTTTCAGACCAAAATGAATTTCTTATTACCAATTATCAAAATTAAAAAATCAAGGCAGAGGAACAACGTCATATGACTAGAAACCAGTATGAATGTTTCTATGTATACCTTACTAATAAATCATGAGCTAAAATTTTCTTAAACAGATGATTTGCAAGATATTTTCCAATAAAAAACACTTTTACACATGCATAACACTCACAAAAGGTCCAATTAAATAAATCATTAGATTAAAAGAAAAACAGGTTCACTGAAAAATTTATCCACTGAAACTTCTCAAGAAGTTTTGCCACTCAGTAATGACAATATATTCTACTAAGAAAAAATAAAATAAAGCCAAAACAAACTGAAAATATTTTTTTTTGTTTCAATGAAAAGCACAAAAAAAATTGTCAGGATTGATGTATGAGTTTACTTTTCTGATAAAGAAATGAGAATCTTAAGAAATGAGAATCTGCTGTTTACATTTTATTTTTTAATACTAAATTTTTAACTATGATTCATTATTAATGTCTAAAAGACAGTAATTATGTGTTCTTTACTAGTTGAAAACTTCCTTTCTTCTTCATTTTCCTTTTCCCTTCCCTCTTGATATTTTACTGTATGTTAGGAAAGTTCTTTATAATATAGGTATAGGTATATATATAGGTATATATAGGTAAATAATACAGTAGTCCAATGTCCAATTTTTTTCTCATATTTGCCTATTAAATGTTCCTCAACACAAAATTTTAAAAAAGTAAGAAATTATTTTAGATTTTGTGTGGTTTGCTCATCTATAAATGAAATACTACTTCCATGTGTTTGAATTAGCTTAGATGTATTCCATCTTTATCATCTTTCCTGGGAGCTCTTTTGTTTCACATTACTAATGCATTATTATAGGGAACATTTTTTCTTTTTCCTCTCAAAAAAAAAGAAATATATATATATATTTCTGAATTAAAAGACTTGAATTGAAATAAAGAAATCTTATGATCCAGGTAATTTCTCAAGAAAAAAAATGAGGAAAGTATCTTTAGTGTGATCTCCCAAGGAATGTGCATTTTGTTTGAAAAGACTAGTATTTGGAACCCCTTTTGGATAGTAATTTAATATTAGACAGATAAAGTATGGAAGAACAGCACTAAGGAAATCATAGAGTAATCCTGTATCAGCAGAGATCACTGATTTTATAGGACTAGGACTTTTTATCTCTAATTGTTGTTTTGCTATAGGGAATCTATTCTGCCACATGTTTGATGCAATAATATAGGTGAATGTGAGAAGAGAAGGGAAAAAAATAATAAAAAAGCTCATCTTGGGGAAGTCCTGAAGCAATTGTAAAGATCAGTGCAATATTTTCTCCCTGCATGGGCATTATCTTTACAGAGATAGCAAGTTTCAGAGCTGTTTTATTTCTCATTGCTGATGCATTATTTTCTTTTCCCCCATGCTGGGTCACAGCATGCCATCTTGTTTTGCAACCTTTGAAGCCAGGAGATGAATCTCTAAAACATAAGAAAAATATATGTAGACTTCTTTTTTGTTGTTTAAGAAGCAAACTATCTCCACTGGATACTGGGCATCTTGCAGGTGGGATGCCATTTACAAAACATAAATTTACATAATTACTGGTTTTAGGACATAAACATTTTGGTTTCTGCCTGCAGAACTGTAAGCGTAAGAACAGCTGTCTCAAACAGTCTGTGGCTATAACTGTTAATTTATATTACCTAAAAGACGATAAGATAACAATATCCAATCCCTGTCTCAGAAAGCTAGAAATCCTATTGTAAACGTACTGTGAGGTCTTATGTTTGCTGTGATAATATGAGCCCAACTTTTAGCAGGAATGGTGGCCTTAATAGGAGAATTGACTTTACTGAAAGTACAACAAATGTATTTTCTCTGAACAGTGTTTTTATATCACTTCTTAGTCAAAATATTAAAGGATTCACCTGTCTTTAGGGATTTAGGTTCTTGATAACTTTAACTGTTTTTTGTCATGTTTATTTTTTCTCCTCCCACTTCCCTCAGCTTCTCATAAAAACAGTAAAGCGTTCATGAAAATAAACACATCCAATCTACAACAACGTGTTAATTCTGTAACATAACTTCCCCAGAGAAAGGCTTAGGTCTTCAAAAGAAAGCATCCATGTCCTAGGAAAAGTTCATTCATGACAGCCAGGAGAAAAATATCTCTGCCTTCTCCTGCCCTGTGCTGTTATGAAGTACATAGCTGCCAAGTAACGGCGTGTAGGAAATATAATGAAATATGGATGATATGGGAAGAGAAAGAGTTGTAATTAGCATAATTGTGTTTGAAAATTAGGAAGAACTGGAACGATACAGTTTCTGAAATTTGAATATTTCTCTTTTCTTGTTGTGGCATTTAAACAACATCAAACTCTTGTCCATTTGGACCCTCCTAGTTTGAAGAAGAAAAGGCCAGTTAGGGAAGGAAACATGTGGAAATCTTCCTGATGATTGTTTATTTTCCCAAATCTTAATCTCTATGATTACCCCTTCTTTTGGGACAGCACTGGAACTATGTGCAATTCACCTCTCTGAAAAAGAAAGTCAGATGATGTTTTTTCTTTTGTTTCATCATTTTAAATCAATCAGGTACTTGTTAACAAACACTCACAAAGCAAGTAGCAGCATTTTAGGCTGGGTTTTCATTGTACCTGAGGGGCACATTAGTGAACTTACAAAGATTTCTGATGGGCTGTTTCCAAGAGCAGAAATTTGCAAAAGATGAGCAACTTCCACCACTCCCTGAAAAATCTCAACATTTTTCAATGATAAAACCTGTAAGGTCTTTTTAGACACTTGCTGGGGCACCTGGTGCTAACCCTGGGATTGCTGATTGAGATTAGCTGCAGGGGAATTCACAGCTGCTACAGCCCTATTCCCTTTCAGAATGGTTGCTGTAGGCAACTCTAGCAAGGCAGCACCTATTCTGGAGAGTGAAAATAGCATATAAATGTAAGAAAGCAAATTTAGAGTAATATATGCTCTAAAAGGTAACAAAGTGGTTCTATGGGTCAAAATTTAGGAGAAGACTAAATAGGAAAGAACCAAAAGATAATGATTAATTTCTTTTAAAATGATTTTTCAGGGGCAAACAGATATTAAATTTTCATGATCCTGGTCTAGCTGGCTCCATGGGTAAGTATGTAGATGTTTTAAAAGTAAAAAATATAGAGTTCTTTGTATTAAACACTAGTTAGGGTAGGATTTCAATGGAATATATTGGGATTTTTAGGTAAAATGTCAACATTCTTCATTCTTTTTTAATAATTGCATTCATCTCTAAGATGTGTTGATGTTCTGTTCATTTTTGTATAAAATCGATAAAACTGATTCAAACTGATAACAGGAGGATCAGAGATAATTGAAAGGAAGTAAAGGATTTCTAAGCCTCAGATCTCTATATTGTGTTAAATAGTAATAAATTCAGCCAGGCTAATTGAAAGTGTCAGTAAACTCACTTTTTTGGTATATATTAATTAAAGTAAAATAAAGACTCTTATGAAAAGCAAAAGCAAATTAGATATCAAAAGATAAATAGAAAAGAGTTCAGTGAAAGAATAAATGTAAGCTGCTTTGTAGAAGACTAAGAAGAAAAAAGATCTGTTTTCAATTCCTGCAAGTGAGAAGGGAATTTCTTTTGCTTAAATTATTTCGTTGAGAGATCATCATGAGCTTCAAATTTTGAAGCTATACTGGGAGTTCTCAAAATGGCTGGATGGGAGACACTGTCTTTAGCTTATGGTGAAAAGATTATATAGTGATAAAAGTCCATGAATTTTATTACCATCACCAGCGTTTAAGATATGGATGAAAAGGCACAATAAATGGTCTACGTCTGCTGGGCATGCTTAAGGCTGGAAAAATGATTAAATAGAATATTGTCAAATTACAATTTTCTTTTCTTGTTTATGTGCATATACTTGTGCTGTGTTTTCTCCTGCTTACTGCTTTTCTCATAGAGGTTTTGCTCTGCCTGCTAGGCTTTGGGGTGCTTAGAATCAGAAAAATTCAGACAGGAAATAGTTTGGGGTGTCATCAAGTCTGATTCCCTACTCAATGCAGCTCTAACTTCAAAACTAGGCAATACTGCTCACGGTCTTGCCCACTCAAGTTTTGAATATCTCCGAGGATGGATATTCCATAGCTGCTCTAGGCACCTTGCCCAATGCTTGACCATCTTCCTGGTGAATGTTCTTTCCTTTGTAACCAGTTAAAATTTCTCTTCCTGCATTTTGTAACTTTGTGCATATCCTTTTACTGTGCATTTCTAGGAAAAGCCTGACTTCATCTTTTCTGTGTCCCATTTTGGTAGCTGAAATTATATCCTTCATTAGTCTTTTTTCTTTTCTCTCCAGGCTGATAGAAATCCACCTTTTTCTTCTTCTCCTCATATGACATGTCCTCTTACCATTTCAGTGCCCTTTTGATGGATTCTCTCCGTTCTGTTAATCTCGCTCAAACTGGGAAGAGAAACTGGACACAATATTCCAGAGGCAGCTTCATGAGGGGATAATCCCTCTCCCCTTAACCTGCTGTCTATACATCTGCTAAAGCAGCTCAATGTTCAGGAAACTTACATCACTGTCAAAGTCAAACTATTTTCTGTCAACTAATACTCCCTATGTAGCCAGAACAAACCCTTATAGTCATCACAAGCCAATCCCAAGAAAAGTTACCTAAGACAACATTTCTATAAGAATAAAAGCAAATGAGTTAAAGGAGTATAGGTAAGAGTTTTTATATGCTTTCTATTTAAAAATGGGAAAACATACAGATATACTTTTTCCTGTGGTTTGGACAAACATTGAAATTGATGTGTGCAATATTCAGATTTTACTGTGTAGAAGTGTAAGTAATATTAATCTTTCTTTATCGAATCGGGAGACTGAAACAAGAACAGCCTCTCCCAAAACACTGGCATCTATCAAGATGTGAGTTAATTTGTGACTATAATATACTGGTAGCTCATAAGTGCTTGGAAGAGGAGGATCGGATATGTAAGTGAAGTCAAAGAGAAGCAGCAGAAATATCAGGAAAGATCTGATGGTAACACCAGTCAGAGAAAGGCCTGTATGGAAAGATTTTGGTCACTTGCCCTCAGAGAAATTATGATATAAACTAAATGTGGGAGCAAAACATTTATATTAAAGGCATAGTATTGTAAAGGATTATTTTTGCCAACACTTAGTCCTTGGTACTAAAGAAATACACCACTATTTGGTTTCTATCATTATTAAGAGGACATGACTTTTATATTAAAATAGTTCTTTTTATAGTAAAAAACTTCTTGAGTATCCAATGTGGTCTAAGGGGAAATAGGTTTACAGTCCAAGATAACAAGACTGTGTAGCTGGGACAGTCTACTCATGAAAAATGTACCAGTTTAAGTGACAATATATTAATACATAAATATTTCAATCTAAGGATTTTTTTTCCTAATCTGAAAGAGTTTGTCTCAACACAATTACAAACTTGATGACAAATTTTAATTGGCCTCAGTAGCTAATACAGATTTATTTAATATAGTTAAGATATCCTTAAAGTTAAACTGGGATTTAAGGGTCCTCACCAGAAATATGAACTGATTTCTATCATCTGATGTGTTTGTCCTACCTTGCCTGTAGAAGAGCATAGGTGTAACAGATTTTTGAACAGTTGTGTTGAATCGTGCGGATCCTCTACTCAGTGACTTGTCTGGAAAGAGCAATTTCTGCTAAAAAAATGAAGACTTTTCTGCTCTCATGTCAAGGAAGGACCCAGTTTAAGGGATTAAGTGGCAGTCTATGAAAAAGTGTATCACTATAAATGGCAATAATAATAAGAAACATCAGTCTTAAAAATATGACATTGGAAATGACATAAAATCCTTGTGGTGTTGTATTGCATTTGTTATATACTTAAGTCAGCCCCCTTGAACTTTTTCTTGTTTACAAACATTCTTCCTCTAACAGTCCTATTTCTGTCAGCATTGGGTATGCTGACAGAAAGAATACTGTACCAAAGCACAACTACCCCCTTCTCCTTTCCATAATGCACTGTGTGTTAAGTAAAATACTTTTGTTCTGAGTATACACCAAACAAAGTATATAGTCTGGCCATTTGATCTCTGACACCAGAGTATGAAAAAGACCACACTCATGACCCCTACAGTGCCACTGACTACAAAGGGTGGTAAATTGCTGTCATGCTAGTTGATGATCTTTATGTCTTTCCCTTTTACTTGCTAACTTGCTGGTGCATTGACACTTATTACTGCAAGCAAAGGACCACCCAGCCAGGACTGACACACTGGTACCAGCATTCTTTTTTTTTGTTCCTTTACTTGTGTGTTGTTGTTGTTGTTTTAAGACGCCAAGACCTAAAGCAGAAACATTTCCAGTTTAGTACGTGGTCTGAGACATTACCTATGTGGATAAGAAATATTAAGGTAAGTGTATCAGTCATAGCTGGCTCATACACAACATGCTTTACTTCTTCGGGTTTTTCCAAGCTCAACAGCTGAGTGGTAATAAGCAATATTCCATCCTTTTCATCCAAAATAGAAATGATTAATATGAACTTGGTGCTAACATCTTAGTACAGACATTAATACATAATATTATATTGAATGGTAATATTTTTTTTCAATGCATCTATAAATTATGAAATGGCTACCATCCTACAGCACACTCTGGCTATTTGCTTTGGAGTTTTATGAGGTTTCTTTTCCCTTCTCAGTATGAAATTATTAATGACAATGACAGAAGAGCAAACACCTGAAAAGTTAGATAAACAACTGTTTACCACATTTGGGGTATGGATTAAGACCAAAATGCAAGAATACATTATACTCCCTTTTCTGTGCATAATCTTAGAATGTGTAAATTCAATAAAGAAATCTATAGGATGCTTCTCCCTTTTCAGCTGACAAACATGGAAACAAAACAATTTACAGAGAATTGTAGTGGGATGTAGAGACTTCTTGCCACATGTTCCTGAGCAAATTTCATCCACAGAAGAATTAAAATAGGGCTGGGAAAATAGGTTATGGAAGAAAGTGGCCCTGAGCCACAGAAATGCAAACATTTCTTCACTTGCAGAACCTCTGTACTTCTGAAGAACTACCCAGTGTTCATTGGAGGTGAAGTTAACCATTTTCCAGAAATTCAAAATTCAAAGCTCAGAATTAGTTTGAAAAGGCCACTGGCTAATCACTTTTTGGCTTTAGATGATAAATGAGGTATGAAACCTATTTGGTAGCTGTGTATTTTACTCAATTGTTTCACCTGAGGGTTAGACTGGAAAGAATACGGAGTGAAGAATAACAGCGTGAGTATGGCAAAATAGAAAAAGGGAAAGATTTTGACCCATAAAGAAAGCCAGGTTGTAAAGCGATTGATTACTCATTCTTGGGGATTTCTCCTTTGGCCTGAATTAAAGTAATGCTAGTTTTATCTGCTAATAAGTTGGGGGTTTTTTGTTTGTTTTTTCTTGTTTGTTTTTAGTTTTTTTCAAATTAAGTTTGTTAAACTACTGTTACTCCAGTTCTTCTAGGCAATATGAAAAATGTAGCATGCACATCAATAGCATAACTCCATTATCCTCCCAGATCACAGAATCACAGAAGGATTAAGATAGAAGATACCTTTGGAGATCAGCGAGCCCAACTGCCCTGCTCAAGCAGAGACACCTAGAGTATACAGGATTGTGTCCAGGCGGGCTTGGAAGATCTCCAGAGAAGATATCTCCACAACCTCTCTCATCAGCCTGTTTCAGTGCTCTGTCATCCTCACAGTTAAGAAGTTTTTTGTCATGTTCAGAAGGAACTTCGTGGGTTCCTACCTCCTAAGCTTGTACAGTCAGGACATTGCATTAGGAAGGAGACAGGGCAGCAGGTAGAAATGTATAACAGAGCCATAAAAATGAATGTGATAGTGGCTAGTAAATCTTCACTGAGCATCATAATGTCCAGTATAAATGAATACAATTGCAGAAAGAATGTGAGCCAATGCTCAAGGCCAAATGAATAGAATGATTAAAAGGATTTTTTAGTTAGGTAACTAAAGTTAAACTTTAGTTAGGTAAAACTTTTATGTAAACTTTTATGGAGTTTTCAATGTAAGATCATAAGACCTAGGAGCATCTGATTGTATGGTATGAACTGACTAAGAGTAGATTAGTCAGAGTGCTCAGGAAGTGGAGAGAGGTCTGAAAAGCAAAACAGTTCTCAGGAGCATCCAGCCCCCAAATAAGCTGGCCCAGATGCAAAATCCCTTTCCCTTGCCTGTACACACAGCTGGGTTCTGTGCTACAGAATGTGCTGGTGCCACATCCTTACATCAAAATGCACAATAAAAATTGTCAGTAACAGTGGATAAGAGATACAACCTAATATATCTATGCTCTTGTCCCACTTTTTAACTCAGGTGCTTTAACTTTAGAGAAAACAAAGACAAGCTGTGTCACCACACAGCACTGGGGAGGAGTGGTGGTTGACAACTCCGTAGTACTGTAGATTTGAAAAGCAAAATGATGGTGGAAGAACAAGCCCTTTTAGCCTGAAGTTTTTCAATCCTTGGTGAATTAATGTCAAGAACACTGGTTTGAATGCTCATTCAAAATTTGTCTTTAGAATAGTAATGAATTTAAAAGCCCAATTCCCAAAGCAATACCCCTAACAGTAAATTGAGAGTTGATATGCAGAGCTCATTTGCTTTCTCTTGATGATGTTATATTCTGCATCAAATACTAAATTGTGCCAATTTTTTGAACATACAAGAGAGATAACAAACTTTGTTTTAAATCCATGAACTGAATAAAAACTCTGCCTTGGATAGATTTGAATGTTGATCTCCTATCTCCTAGGTGACTATTGCAACCACTAGACTCTGCGGTAGAGGACCACCAGCAGTTGTGTGAATCTAATTCCTATGTTTTCATCACAGCTGCATCAAAAAAAATCAAACAGTCAAATATATTTTTATATACTTCAAAAAAAGCTTTTCTAAAAATGTTTAGTGATTTTTCATCTTGATTGAAGCAATCATTTCTAGTCACTCCAAATCTTTTATTTTTCTATGATACAGAGAAAATTTTGCAGTGAAAATATCACTTGTATCTCCTGGTATCGGACCAAATACTAGCTAATTAACTGAGTCAAAATGGTAACAGTAAGATGTGACAAACCTAATCAATATTTTTGAAACTTAACCTTTAATTAGTAGAGCAGATTCTGCATGGGGTCAGAAGTTTCACACCATTTTTCCAAGTATGGTATATAACTCTAAATCCAAAATCATGCTCACAAAGGTTACAACACATCAGAGATCAAATTTTACTCTCATAAGTGCATCATTGGCATAAAACAGGTCATATTCAGGTAGGTAAGAACAAAGTTTAAGTCTATATCTTGAGCTGGACTGAATACATCTCATTCTTTTTCAGAGGAAGGAAGATATAGCATAAGGTTTCAGG